GAGGAGAGCTTTTGTCAAAAATGTCTCTTTTGGCTTCCTCAGGAAAATTCCTCCTTCCAGGTTGGTCTGGTCACATAGGTTCACACACAGAAATACACATGGGTCACACAGGATTCACATACATTCCATAGAAGCATAGCAAGAATTTGGCAGCTGGATTCCTCTTAGGCTCTTTTTGCAGGGCTTTTGCTCCAGCCCATGTCTGGGCAGCACTGCCTGGGGCAGCTGGGGGGATGCAATGGTCCAGACTGAGCGTCTGAACTGGGAGCAAGATGCACCTCATGCTTAAAATGAGCTTGAAGTTGCACAACAAGCACTAATTAAATGGAGAGGTTTAAGCCTGGATGAGTAGTGGGAGGAGTGGGGATGTTTCTAAGTGAGCAGACAGGGGCTGGGATGAGGAGCCAGGGATGGGGAAGGCAAAGACATTCAGAAGGAGTAGAGGCAAAAAAACCATCTTCTCTCCTGGTATTAGTTAGGGTTACAAGTACAAGACATGCCAAAATCAGAATTATTGTTCAGGTTTGACTCAGTCCTTGTGCAAATGCCCACCTTGAGATACAACTCCTAGGTGACTATGTGATTTTTTTTCACAGACAATGTACAAAATAGAGAGGAAAAGGCCAAGAGAGCAGCTAGTCCACCCCCTTCCTGAAGGCAGGATCAGCTTTGTGTTCTGTCATTCCTCAGGCATGTTCTCAGAATCCTCCAGAAATGCCCCTAGCATCTATTTTGGTGCTTAAGTACTTTTACTTTCAGAACATTTTTTCTGATGTCTCATCTAAAGCCTCTTTACTGTCATGTAAACCCATTTCTGCTTCCCGTACTTGAAAGAACATGGAGAACAGTTTTTCTTTATCTTTGTGGCTCTTTTTAATATTGCAAGACTATTATCACATTTCACTTCATTTTTCTCCTCTCTGGTTTTTAATTGAAAGTCCTGCAGCTGTCTCTCACAGACATTTTTCCAAGTCTCTGCTCACCCTCACTGCTCTTCTCTGGATAGTCTCCAGTCACCTCACCTTTCTTCCTGTGCTGCACCAAAACCAGACCGAGGACTCAGCAGTCTGAGTCCTACTTAAACCTCAATTTCAAAACAGAATTACTAATTTCTGTCAGAACTCCTTTGCAGCACTTACCCCTACAGTGTTTTCCCAGAAAACACAAAATAATCAGGCTTTGTGTTTCCTTTTGTGGAGTGAAGGCTCATCATCAAATGCAGAAGTGAGCCATGTGAAGATAAAGGTCAAAAGAATCTTTTAATTTTGTAGCTAAACTTGAAATACTGATTTTCAAAGTAATCAGCTCTGCATAATACCTCATGCTCAGAGCACAGCTACAGCTGGGAGTGGCCACCAGACCTCTGTGTCAAGTGCCCAGACTGTAAATAACAGGCAGGGAATAGTTGCCAAAGCTTTGTTCCCCCTTGTTGAAAAGCACCATCTAAAAGCTCTGTGAAAAAGACAAGGACAAAGAATGTAGCAAATGAGAGCATCATTAAGTTACCTGAGCACAACTGGCTAATAGAATGTGGTCCTAGGGATCAATTACATTTGCCAAACCTCCTGTTTGCTTCAAGGTGAATTCCATGTCTTGGGGACAACATATGTCTATGTGTGTGTATATATATAATTGTGTCTGTAGAATGTTCATTAGGGCTGGCAAATGATGACCAGAAACTATAGTACACAGCTGCCCTAATGTGTGTTGTGCTTTTTCAATTTTTAATTATTCTTTTTGTTAATTTTAGGGATGGGTATGCTTGCCAGTGTGTACACAGACGATGAGGAGCGAGGCAACGCCATGGGAATTGCACTAGGAGGCCTGGCTATGGGAGTATTAGGTCAGTGAGACGGAGGCTCTGCCCACAGGAGGAACCCCCCAGCTCTCCCCAAAGCTTGTGCTTGTGATCTCGGGAAGCAGCAGCAGAGTCTCATCGTGTGCAATGTTACAGTGTCATTTCCAGATGGGACTCACAGTGCACATTAAGAATATTGTTTTCCACAGAAGCACATTTCTTATGTGGATACATGTCAGGCAATCTCTGAAAAGTCTGGGGTTTGTTTACATGGAAGAGTACTTTAGGGAGTGAAAAATATGGTGATTGTCATGATCAATGAGCTTTGTGTTTAGTGTGGTGGTTTGGTTTTGTGTTTTTGTTTTGTTTTGTTTTAATGGAGCTTTTTGGTCACTGAATGCCCAACACTTGCAGAGGATGTTTCATCAGTCAGAGATGTGGCTCCACAACTGTGTCTTTTCTTTCTCCCTGGCAGTGGGCCCACCTTTTGGGAGCATCATGTACGAGTTTGTGGGGAAGAGCTCCCCTTTCCTGGTGCTGGCAGTACTAGCTCTGTTAGATGGAGGTCAGTAAACACAGAGTCAATATTGCCACGTAGCACACCCCTCTCACATTGCTCCCACCCAACACCCTCTGCAGAGAAATGTTACAGCTTTCATTTCTTTTCACAGCTGTTCAATTATTTGTTCTGCAGCCAACCAGACCACAACCAGAAGTAAGTATTGAGGTAAAACACTCTAGACAATAGCTGACACTTTGCCTTTCCTAATCCCAAGCTTTTGTTTCCTAGAGTCAGAAGGGGACACCGTTACTGACACTTTTGAAGGACCCGTATATCATTATTGCAGCAGGTACAAGATCCATTTTTTTCCTTTAAACCCACTGTTGGTGTTTTACCTGGCATCTTGGAATGCCTCAGGTTGAGCTGGTTTAACAACATTGTCATTTGCTGGTTTCACTTACATAAAGCTCAAAGAACCTGTTGGTAACACAGGGTGAATGTATCACTAGAAACAACAGGCAGAAAGTTTGAAATGTAGCTGTCTTGCCAGCTGAAGGAACACTAATGACCTGTGGTTGCTTGCTAAGGCAATGAGAAGTGGCCATGAAACTTGCTATGAGGCAAGTGAAGGGCTCAGGCTCTCAGCAGAGGGATGCACATCACAGGCAGGCTTAGGGGATAACACTGGAAGTTGTTTCCATTTGAAGGGAGAGTGAGTTTGGTCTCCAGAGCATGGACTGTATTTCACAGAAGGTCTGGGTTGAATGGTGAATTGTATTTGGTATTACATTTGTCATTTGCCTAATGAGTCTTTCTCAAGGGAATTTTGCCTTTTTGGGTTGCATTTTGTTGAATATTTATGCTAAAGTCTGTAATTAAGTCTCACCCTTTTTAATGTTCATAAAATAGCTGAAAAGAAATTATAATTTTTACAGGTTTGTTGCTTAATTCTAACTTGCTTGTCCAAGAAAGCAGTTCTTCCAGGTGCTTTTTTGGTTCACTGTTTTTGGTGGTGTAGAAAAAAAATTACTCTAGATCTTTGACCAGATACTGGATAAAGTTGTGACTAAAGTTACACAAATACTTTTGCTTGAGAAGTTCTTGGACCATTAAAAGACCTTTTCATATAATAGAAGTATTTGAGGGAAAAGAGTAGCCAATACAGTACCTGCCATAAAAGATCAGTTCTGTTGTTCATTTAATTCAGTACCTTGTTTCCTACAGTGCTTAAAGCAGGTGCTGCAAGGTGAGGCACATCTAGCATACAAAGCAGATTTCTGGAGAACAATATAATCCCTGACAAAGTCAAATCTGTGACAGAGCTTGGCTTAAACCACAAAATATGACCAGGGAACTGATTTCAAGGAGTACTTTGCTTGACTAAGACTTAGCTGCTCATGCCATCTTAGCCAAAGAAGAAAAAGTACCAAAGACCTTGGATCCCACTATTTTGATCATGGCCCATGTCTTCTAAGAGCAGGGATGGACTTTGTTTCCATGTTCTAATACCTCTGGCTGGCATTCAATTTCTGCAGCTACTGTCTTCTCTGGAGCTGCTTCAGGTGGTGGTTTGGGGCTCTCCAAAGCAGGGCTGGATAGTCTCAGGGCAGTAAAGCAGTGAAAAGATTCAGGGCTGGGTAGCCTGGCATCAGGGCAGTGTGTGTCAGAGAGACCTTACCTTTGCTGCCCGGGCTATTTGTGCCTCTTGCTTGCCTGCAGGCACTGCTGGTTACCTCCTGTTTCACCTTCCCATCTTCTACCCACAGCAGCTGGGCATGACCAGAGGAACAGAAAGGATGGATGTACAGAGAGGTAGAAACATAAAGACCCAGGCTGTTCTGATCTCTCCTGCTCTTGCCAGCTGCTCTGGCTGACTTCCCCAGGATCTGAAAAAGTCCCTGCCATGGGTGGCTGGTGAGGCCAGGTGCAGCACCCAGGGTCTCTGCCTCCCAGGACAGATGCTGCTCAGCACTTTGACAGTCTGGATGATGTTCATGTTCTCTAACCTCAGACTTTAAATCCTGTATTTTATTTCCCCTGCAAACCCAACTTGGTTTTTTTCAGAATTGAATATCAAATACCAACTAGAAATTCAGCCTTTTTTCTGGTCTGTGCCAGTGCACACCAGACCAAACACAGATTTCTTGATGTACCAGGACTACACTGTTTACATGTTAATTCCTTCAGTTGGGAAGCTGTTGCTTTTTACAGTGAAAAGGGTCTGAAATTTTCATTTATTCTCCCTTACCCCAAAGAGTTTGGTATTTTTCTTGCTCTGTTTTCTAAAACGGGAGCTTCTGATCCTGATACTAACTGGGAAGGGTGGGTAAGCAGTTGGTTGGGATGGCAGAGTTAGCTCCATGTCATGACATCTTGAGGCCATTGGCCAAGGCATCATGCCACATTTCTAAGCCAGAAAATATCTTCTGCTTCACAAGAATGCTGTGAATGTAAACGTCCCACATGATGTATGAAGTTCAGATACAATGATTAGAGAGGGGAAGGTTAAAAGTCCCATTGGATTTGTGCTGCTCAGCGACATGAAAGGTTTCTGAATGGCTTTTAAGGAAGTTAACAGCCTCATTAAAAATTGGCTGTATCTCTAGTGAGCTGATTTGTTAACCACAAATGAAAACCACAGATATTTGGGGTGTTCTGCAAATGGACTAGCAGTTTAAGTGTTTGGGGTTTCCCCCCCCCCCACCTCCTTTTGATTTAGATCACTAATTTCATGGTATGAATTCAGATTCAATCTCCTGAGCATGCATCATGGTCTTGAGTCATAACTATCTGTGTTCTCAAAGTACAAGCACTTTCTGGCCAATTTGACACCATATTACTCTTTAACACAAGATGTCTTGAACTCAAGCACAGTGCTCCTCTCTCTTGTTTCTGAAAGTGTGACTTGTTCCCTTGATAACTCATGTTGCCTGGGAGTTAAGAACAGTGACTGTCCCAGCAGACAGGAGGCCAGTGCTCCCACCCACTCACTGCATGTCACAGTCCCTGCGGCCACTCCTGCCTGGGCACCTCGGGTGCCACCAGGAGCTTTTGCAGGATGGCACTGTGGCCGTTCCTGTTAGACATCCAGCAGTCCCAGCTGGTAAATCACAAAGATGTGGGCATCAGAGGGACAGGACCAGATGTTATGGCCAACTCGGATGAAAACCCTTGCAGGAGAAAGGAAATAAGAGCAAATCCAGGCTCTGCCTCCTATGGGGACTGTGTCAGAGGTGATGCTTCAAAGTCAGCACTGTCAGAACTCACTAACCCAGGCAAAAGAAACATTACTGACGTTTTTTGTCACTGCTGGTAGGAGCTCAGTGGATGAAGTCAATGGCATTCTCACAGCCAGATCTAAGTGACAAAGATTAAAGAATCTTTGGGTGCTACAGGTGACAAAGTTGCATGGAAGAGTTAGTTTATCAGATCCAGAAACCAGAGCTGAGACAGATGTTGCCATGAGCACATGGGTTCCTGAGAAGGTGTACAGCAGCTTTTCACTAGGTGTCTGCTTTTACACAGAGCAATACCAGTGATGCCTGTGGCACTCTGCCAAAGGCTGAGTGGGTTCTCAGTTGTGGAGATGGGATCCAGCTGGAAGGCTGCAATTTCACACCTTCTGGCCATTGTAGGAGAATTAATCTCGTTCAAAGAAGAAACAATGTAGGATTTTTGCCTTTGAGGTATGGCCCTCTAAAGACAGGTCAGATCCATGCAACATGGAGGAAAACAAAAATATCTTCTTTTGGGGAAGCTTCACCAAGGTAGCCCAGTCTTTATGGGACTTTGCCTGGAGTTTGCAGAGTACCAGCTCCAGCTCTCACATTTCTCTTGGGGCACATCCTCAATATCTGAAATACCTTTGTCACCACGTGCCTGCTTACTTTGATGAGCTCTGGTGATGCTTCCTGACCCGATAAGAAATAGATGTATCATGTGCACTTCTGTTTCTCATTTCTCTGTGAAGTTCAAGACTACAATGAGACTTTGTTATTTAAGCTACCTCTAATAAAATGGCCCTGCACTTTGTGTGGCCTGAAATGTTTTTCCAGCAAGAAGGAAGCTGCTCAAGCATGGCTGATTTTAGCCTGGGAGAGGGAAGCCCTGAGGTGTTTAACTGAGGCTCCTCACCGACACTGTGCTAGTGGGAGCTTGCAGCAGAGTGGGTTTGCTTTGCATCTAACCTTTCCTCCGAAGGGTAAAGCAATGCTGAACTGTTGCTCCTTGCCCCAGGAAGGGCGTGAGCCAGCTAGCCTGCAAGTTCATTTTGGGAATTGTGGGTACACAGTCTAATATATTCTGACAGGTTTGAGCAAAGAATGACATCAGTGCTCATTTTGTTTTGAACTGTATGATGAGAAACTTGTTCCAGGAGAAATAATATTTCTCTGACCTAAGACAAATCAAGCTTTTTCTTTTTTTAATTTTTAAAAAAAAAAACAAAAAAACAAACAAAACAACAGAATTTGGATGGTAAATTACTGTAAGAACCTAGAATATCTTCCTAAATTTCAGAGATTATAAATATTAGGAAGAAAAGTGGCAACACAAGTTTGAGGTTGTCTCTTCTAGAGACTTCCAAATTCCCTTGAAAGTCATTTTGCAGAGGGATTTGTCCCGTGGCCCTGCATTAGGCTTTGACTGCCTTAGGCCCTTTTCAGTAAGTGGAGAAGGCCTTTTGAATCCCCAGAAATGGCACAGGATCTAATAAAGCCTGCACTAAAGCTAAGTGCATGACTGAGGAGAGTCCAGCTTGACACAAGCCCTCTGCAGTCTGATCTGCAGGCGGTGGCACGGGGCAGAGCTGAGCTAAGGGGCAAGGCTGAATCAGCACTTCCACCACTCCCTGTCCTCCTGTCTGGGTGACGAAAGGTCCAGGAATTCAAAAGACATTTGGAAGCATTTGAAATTCATCAGGCTAGGCAAGCTCTGCTAGACCTGTGCTTTGCTGCTGGACTTACTAGCTGCTGGCTATAGGATCCCTACACAAAAATCCCTTTCGTATAGGATAGACCTCTCTGTGGTTGTCTCATGCTATTTTTAGGATCGAGATCTCCATATCTCATAGTAGTCGTTCTCAGGTGATGGAGGCATGGGGTCAGAGCCTATGCCTCTTACACAACTGGGCTCCTTTTTTGCCCCAGGAGAGGAGATAAAGTCCAAAAGATTGTAGTTTTAGCTAATCGTTTGTACAACAGTTAGACCCCATGAACTTTCTAAATGTCATCAAGCTCACTGCAGACTTTCACATTATGAAAATAGCTTAACCTTTATCATAGAATTTCGAGGATAGAAACATGCAGAAAGTTAGTGTTCAATGATTTTACATTCTGTTCTACTTAACATTAATCAACATTTGATGCATGACAAATAGGGCTAAAAAATAATTTATTTTTTTTTTTGTAACAGCATCCATTCTTTGCATATCTTTATGTTTAGAGTCAAATAACTGCTGCTTTTCCCCCCCTCTCCTATTCTTTAAGGATCAATTTGCTTTGCAAACATGGCGATTGCTATGCTTGAACCAGCATTACCCATCTGGATGATGGAGACCATGTGCTCAAAAAGATGGCAGCTCGGTAAAGTACAGTATATTGTTTGCACCCCTGTATTTTATCTAATGACTGTCTTCTGGTAACATCTGGGAGAAGGTTGGACTTCGTTTAAATTGTGGCTACCAAGAACACGAGGAGCACTTTCCCATGGGTTTGATGGATTTGATAGCTTTTCAGTGGTTACTTAGTCATTCCATTCGACAGAAAGCAATGGGAGAGCCCCAGCGTGGACCACCTTATAACCTGTAACAGGGGGAAAATCTTGGAAAACCAGTGTCCACAGGCAAACTGGGAATTTGTTCTGTGTATCAAGTTAGAGTGTAAAACTGGAGCAGTTACTTTCTCTTGAGATGAATAGGAGGGGGCAAAAAAAAAAAAAAGAAAAATGGACTAACTTCAAGTGAGTGTCAAACCCTGTGGGATGTTGATGTGAATTGTCTTGTGTGGAGGTGCCTGGTCTTCACGTGCCCCAACACACAGTGCTGATCCTCTCTATTGCTCTGACTGACGTTTTAATAGCTTGTAGGAAAGGGTCACCATTACAAACACAACGTGTATCTAGCTGATCAAGTTAAGGAAGTGTTCTGTGCTGTGACACTCCATGAGGGTGTTTGTCAATATCAATATATGGCATTTGAAAGAAAAATTCTTCATGGAAATGATGTTCAGCTAACATCTGACCAATATCCCTACTCTTTGTTAATGTCCCTCCACCATGTAGTAAGCACAAACTTCAGTTCTAATTAACGTAGCTCAGATTTAGGATGGCCATGAGTAGCAGTCCTTAACGTGCTGTGGTCCTGTTGACCATGATAATGACTGCTAGCCTGTAGCACAGCAAAATTAACACACAAACTTAGCTATTTTAAACCTTGCCAAGAGAAACAATGATTGCTTCTCGACCTCCCTCAATAGATTTTCATATTTCTAGTGCAACAGAAATGAGATTTACCAGTCTCTTAGTAATAGAGGTTCCTAGAAGGAAAATAACAATTTTAAATTAAGACTAATTTTACCCCTTAATGATATAAGTAATTGACTCCATTACACTTTTTCTGATTTGACAGCATTAATTAAAATTTTTAAGCCTTTTAAATTATATCTTGAATTGCTGGGTTTTAAGCAAATTATTATCTTATGCAATTTGGAGATCCAGCTGTTTGAAGCATGATCTGAAGAAGGTATAAAGAACCTCGATTTGATCAATTGATGTTACTGCGCATAAAACTTATCTAGAAAATTATGGTTGTGCTTCAGTAGACCCCAGCTTACACACCAAGCTGCAAGGCTTATTTAAAGAAGCCTTTGCAGTATGTTTATTTTTTCCAGTTGTCAAAGTTTGCTATGCGTGACCATTTGGTATAAAAAGATAGCTCCAAGCAGCACAAAAGTAGTTGTGGTTACACAGGTGAAAATGTTTCCCCAGTATCACCACTCTGACCCACAGAGATTTTAAACACAGGATATTGCTGTGCTAAAAATTACCTCTTGATTTTTTTCTTATGAATATCAGAGAGATGGGAAGGAAGATGGATTAGGCAGGAAATGAGAAAATCTATGTTGCCTTGGTGAAAGATGAGGAGCACATACACTTAAAGGAAATGGTCTGACTGTGTTCCCTAATGTCACGGCTGCTGTCTAATCTGAACTACCTGATTTAACAGTGACCAAATGGAAGGCTTGTCATGGCATCCACTAATTTGTCAGACTTTCCCAGTTTTGTCAGGTCTCCCAGTTTTATTTTTCTTAAGAAGACAGCAGATTTAACGGGAACAACAGAAAAATGCTGTGTCTTATTTCTTCCAAGACACGTAAACCATTCAACACCATTGCACAAGGATCCAACACTGGGCGCAGCAACCCTGTTCCTCTGCCCCTCAGATATTTTCCATACAAAGTCTTCTCCCTGGGGACATTCCCTGCTCTCACATAAGCCTGAATCATCCTCCCTGGTGTTCTGCAGGCAGCCAAGGCCATGGCACACCGTGCTCTCTGTTAGCATTTCTGCCTTTGATACGTCCCCTCCAGCTGGGTCCTGCCCTGGGACTTACGTGCGGGGAGAGAATGAATCCTCAGCTACAGCCTGGAATTGGCTTCTAAACCTCAGCTATTGCTGGTTGCTCTGCAACCAGCATCTACTCTGGCTACAGCTGCTGCTGTGGAAACCTCTAGGCTGGAAAAAATTGCTGGTCCCCACTATATTTTCCCAAGTGGGTGCAGGGCAGATGGAGGGTAACCCAAACCTTCCCTGCCAGGCGCAGAAGGAATGTACTTGGGTGCCCTCATCTGCAAGTCATTACAGAGAATTAGGTTTTTTAATTTAAACTAATAACTGATTGTTTAAAAATTAAATTTTATTGCAAATATAATGGCTAATAACCTCAAAACCATGATTTTAAGATTGCTTCACCTTTACACTATGGATAAGTGCTTGGCTTTGTTCACTGCCTGGCCAAGGACGATCCTGCAGCATTGCAAACTCACGTTAACACGAGGCCTCGTGGCATTCTCTGGCTTGGAGGGAGACTGTGGCTTGCAAAGCCAGAGCAGCAGTCCTGCTGTCTGCTCCTCCAGGGAGATTCACCCACCCCTGACTGTCCTGGGCTCGCTGCATGTGCTGAGCATATGCTCCATAAGGCATGCAACCAAGAAGAGTTGCTTTCCTTGACCTATCCCAAAGCTTATTGTAGTTAGATGTAAACTTTCTTCTTCTTGCTTTGTTACATCCCCTCTCCCACACCAGTGATGCTGAAAAGCTTTTCAAAGGCATGGCATAGCTCCTGCATTTCATAGATATGTCCTTAGATTTCATGAGAAGGCTGCAACAAACCGGATATTTGATTCTTTGGGCTGTGCACAAAGACTCTGTTAGATGTGTTCAAATCAAAATTGCAGCGTCTGGAATTTATTAGTTTCTTCTAACACTTCACTACAATCCGTGCTGATAAACCATCTCATTCATATTTTTCAGGCATTGCTTTTATTCCAGCTAGTATCTCTTATCTCATTGGGACTAATCTTTTTGGGATACTTGCACACAAAATGGGAAGGTATGCTTTAATTTAAAAATACTAATAATCTTCCAGTCTGTTCATGTACCATTTCCAGTGTTTTCCAGGGCAGTTTATTGATAGTGGAAATGATTAAAATTTGTTCTATAGTAGAAAAATCACTTTTTTTTTTTTGTACGTGTTGCTACTTTGGTTGTGTAACTCAGCACTTCAGGCATAACTTTGAAGCATTCGAGATCAGCTCTGACATCTCAGAATCACCTCTGAGTGATGTTTCTTCTTTGATAGGTGGCTCTGTGCTTTGATTGGGATGCTAATCGTGGGAATAAGTATTTTATGCGTAAGTAGATCACTTATCTTTCAAACCATCTAAATATACGTGTGTTCATCTTGAAATACGTGCTATTCCCATGAGATTTTGCTGAAGTTTCAGCTTTCTGACACGTTATTAAACAATGTGTAGTTAACAGGGTCCAGATCAGAGTTTTGGGTACTTACAAACTGCAATACTTCAATTATTTTGAAGGAAGACTGGCTCTGAGAAGAGGAGAATCCCTTTTGGTTTTTTGAGCTGTCACTCAACAGTTTGTTCTTGCTGATATCAGTGGTTTAATGATACAGCTGTCTGAAACAGTAGCCCAGAACAAGGATCAGCTTCCACATCTGTACCAAGCATGCTATAACCACTCTGAGAATTTTTCTTAGAAAAAGAGAACTACCTTCATTAGCTTGTGCAGTGTGATTTAATTAACTGCCTGAAATTTCCTTTATAGGTACCATTTGCTAAAAACATTTATGGGCTCATAGCACCAAATTTTGGAGTTGGATTTGCCATTGGTAAGAAAAATCACAGTGATTTCTTATGGTCTGTTGTTTACAGAAAATTGATTTCATATGAAGTTACATGGAAAATTGGTTTTGTTGTCATTCTGGTCTGACAGTAGCAAAGTCTGAGCTGTGGCCCAAACTGGTAGGTAGAGGAAGAAGTATTAAAGGACAGTGCTCAGGCAGTTTGAATTGGGCTGCTGTAAGACAAGCTGGATTCTGAAATCTCTCTGCCCAGAATTGCCCCATTGACCTAACAGATCCTTCAAACTGTCCATGTCTTTCTTTTCAGAAATAAAGCCACGTACCACCCAAAATTCAGTCTTCCCTGTTGTGAAAAATAACTTCTATAGACATTTTCATAGAAAAACGGGTGAAAAAAGGCTTCAATTTTTGTTCATCAAATAGCAATTCCCAAGCCTACATGCATATACTCTTCTTGAAATGATATATGTGAATTTTGTTTATTCTGGACCACACAGTCAGCATGTACCGTGGCTTAGATTTTAGTGCTTGAGTGGTCAGCAAATGTTCTGAGGCATTGTCACACACAAGCAATGTGTAATCAGGAAAGAAGATACAGGCACAACTAAAGATTCCCAATATCTCAGCAGTTTTGACAGCTGTCTTGCACCATTTCTTGCTAGCAATGAAAGGGTGGCTCAAAAGACATGTTAAATGCATAATTTGGATGAACTGGAAGCTGCTGTAGTTCTTTACACCTATGGTAAGTATAAACTCATACAAAATAGCTTTCCCCTAAATAAAAGCTATTTGGCTGGTAACGTGAGCTGGGAGCCTTTGCATGGACAGCTGCTGAGAAGTGGTTGATATGCCCTAAGCTCGTATCTCTCTTTCTCTGGCAAGTGTCCCACAGCCACACTTGACCTCAGACACAGCAAAGACAACAAAAAGCATGGAAAACGCATTCTATTTTTACACATCTTTTGCTTATTTAAGATTGTCTTTTTAGTTGCGTTTGGATGCCCTTTTAAGCACGTAGTTAGCCAAGACATCATAAAAATGAAAAGGGAGTATTTTCCTGAAATCCGTTTCCCTCCCACCCAGGAATGGTGGACTCCTCCATGATGCCCATTATGGCCTACCTGGTAGACCTGCGCCACGTGTCGGTCTACGGCAGCGTCTACGCCATCGCCGACGTCGCCTTCTGCCTGGGCTACGCCGTAGGTGAGTCCAGCACTTCCCTGCCTAGAGGGCACAGTTAAGAAAAGAGAATGCTCCACAATGCCAGGTGTGGCATTTGCAGGCTTTACGAGCGGGGGTTTTCGTTTTCTACAAGAAATCAAAGCAGCAGGAGTTGTGTTTGGCATCTGTTCTTCTCTGCTGTGCCCAGCTTCATGAGCTGGAAGAGGCTTGAAGGTGTCAGGCACTGGGCACAAATAGGATATCCCTTGGGAAGAGGCCTTGGAACATTAAAAATTAACATCACAGCTGTGCTCCTAATAGTTTTTGAGGGGAGCAACTCCCCACCAACCCCCCACCTCCTTGAGTGCATGACACAGATGCCCCCAGGAGCATCTCTAATTTCTTCAATGAATGTGGAGTATGGAGCCAGGAAAGGTTTATTTTATAATTACAAACATGTCTTCACATTTCTCAACTCAATTTATAAAGAGAGGGCTTTGTATATGAAATTACTGTTGTTTAAAGTAACTGCAGCAAATTTTGTGTCTGAGCAATCTTCAGAAAAGGTTTTTTGTTGATACAAGGTCCTTCTGCCGGTGGTGCCATTGCAAAGGCCATTGGATTTCCATGGCTCATGACAATTATAGGGATTGTGAATATCCTCTTCGCTCCCCTCTGCTTTTTCCTTCGCAGTCCACCTGCCAGAGAGGAGAAAATGGTAAGCATAGCACTGTTTCTTCCTTTTGGTTTTATCTTTTTTTTTTTTTTTTTTCAGTGAAACAAATGACAACTTATTTATGCATCTTTGTCTCTAACTGCCCCAAAATGGGAACAGCACAGTTTACTTCACCCTCATGCATCATCTTTGGAATGAAGTCCCCCTTCCTTTTATGTCCAGGATGTATAAAGAAAAGCTGTTTATTAGTTACATGTTACAAAGTCACTAACTGGATCATCACAAAACAGGCTTCCTCACACTTTTTTTTTAAAATACAATTTTACCAATTCCTTAGTTTTCTAGAGCAGGTGCTGTTCCCCAGCTGCTCTACGGTGTGTGAGAAGAATGATGCTTGGCAAAATCAGACCGCAGTGGGTATCTAGGGACAAGTTTCAGGAGCAGGTGAATGTGTTGTGATACATCCCAAAAAATTAGGGGCTCAGAGATGTGAGTCAAAAGCGACACTGTGATTAACAGCCTTGTCAGACCTTCCCCCCACTGATGGTCACATTTGCTGAGTTAAACGTCCACTCTCCCAAGACTGAGAGTGAAGAACTGTCCTGTGTATTCCATGAGTTCTGCTTCAGGGCCCAGGAGCGTGCCTGCACCTCCTGTTTCACTTAGACTGTTAACCCCCACAAGATTCCTGCTCTGGTTTCAGTAGTCCTTTACCTTTGTTTCCCCTCCTATGCCTTTCTCCTCTCATTCTTTCCCATTTCTGCAACTCAATTTGCCCTTTCATGTAATATCTTTTATCTGCTCCTCTACTCCCTGCACATTTCTTGTTCCTATAGATTTATAGTAGACCAGACTCAAAAGCCCTCTTACTGCAGACAGGAATCCACTGCTTTGCTCACGAGGCTTCCTCTGCTCACAAAGATGATGGGAAAGCTCCCAAAAGAATTACAAGGCAGTGCAGTCAATAGGCAGAACAATACCTGTTGCAGTTCCAGTCTGGGAAAATCTTGCAAAATAAGTATCAGTCTTTGCTGCAACTTGTCACCATCTGTAGGTCCAGCCCACCCATTGCTCTATCTTTGCTCATGCTGAGCAAGGTTGACTTGCACCTAAAATGTAGCAGTTGTTTATTTGTGTGAGAAGAAAATGTATTTTTGCATGGCCATGGTCTTACTATGCAGAGCCATATACCTGCAAGGACAGAACCTGTTGCAGACACTGCTCACACTTCGTACTGCCGTGAGCAGAACAGAAGGTGGAAAAATGAACCTTGCTGAAATAGTGGCACACGTGAGGCCAGAGACCTTTTGTTCTACACATATTTGGACTGCAGAATCCAAGAGATTCCAGTTAATCCCTTGTCATGACCTTTGCAGGCTGCACTGACTTTTAACATTGACTAAGGCTGAGGCACAGAAAAAAAAGGCTGCTGCTCTTTATTTGCTAGAGATAAGAGTTTTATTGTGTGCTTCCCTTGATGAGTCTGGGTCCTGCTTTTCGGGGAGGTGGATGCAGCCAGACAGCTGTGTGGAGTCAGCCCCAGACCTCAGCTGGATGCCGAGCAGAAATGCTAATATTCACACTCTTGTTTTCTTTTAGGCAATACTCATGGATCACAACTGCCCTGTGAAAACAAAAATGTATACCCAGAACAACATCCAGTCCTACCCCATAGGTGATGAAGAATATGAAAGCGATTAATATGATGAAAAGCCATGCAACACATTTTGGTGTACAAAAAGCAGTGTTTCATGTGAAACATCTCATCCAGAAATAGGTTTTAGTTGTACTGTACATTTAATAGTGAACTGGTCAAAAAAACCAAAGGTAAATTATTCATTGCCCATGGTTGTAAAGCAGACTGCTAACCGCCTTATAAGGGGGGGGAAAGCTTTTATAGAGGGTTTGTATAGTGTTAATCTTTATTTTGTGTATTTAATTTTATTGAATATTACACTATATTTTTTATTAACTGTGTAGTATAAATCTGTATAAACATGTGAATTTTAACTGTTTTTTAAAATCAGCTCACTGACATTCAACATTTCATACTTTGGTGTCATCAGTTGCCATCAAGAACTCCAGTCTTGATCTAATTGGAAGAAAAATAAAACCCTCAAAAGAAAACCTATCTAATGTACACCCTTCAAAAATCACACCCTTGTAAGTACGTTGAGAAGAGCTGAAGGCTGGAAGTCAGAGTGTGGACACCACGATTGCTTTTGCGATTGACTTTAGGTCATAGATCAGTACAACAAAAGGCACAACTTCTTCGTCAGTTTAAAAGAATGAGCTCTCTCTGGACCACTCATGGAATGTTGGGGAAAACAGTATTTTAACCAGATAAGTCTGCTGCTCTTAGTACAAATTAATGAAGTTTTAACTCGTTAACCAATTTGGTTAAAAACTGCTTTTGTGCAATACAAAGCCCCCAAACCACACAACACCGGGTAAAGAAGCAGGTATGAATGTGGGCTTCCCTTAAGGGAAGCAAGAACAGCATGAAGGTACTTTTTATAGTTCTGTGTTTTGAATCTTTCATTTTTAACTTGTCTCAACTTTAAACATATCTTAAGCGACTGGTTAAGAAGAGCTGTAGTATCAAAGTATCCAGTCTCAGCATGTACTAAGCTGGTAACAAGCAGTTCAAATAAACTATTTTACATGCATTTGCGTACACATCTAGAAAGTCGATTTTTTTTTTTCCCCCAAAATTAATTAAAATATCAACTTCGCTAAAATAATGGGGGAAAAAAAAAAAATGACCAGTTTGTTGCCAGTATCTGTCAACGTTTAGGGACAGAGTCTAATGCTGGTAAAGCCCAGCATTAGGCAGTCCTTATCTGCACTGAGAAAAACCAGACTTTGAAAGAAAGTGTTCTAAAACAATCCCAACGCTCTTATGAACCGTGGTGTATCTTTTCATTCGTAAAATTAAAATCTTCACGTGCCTTCTTTCATGTAATTGCAGATGTTTTATGTACTACAGCATAGATACTATGTTTACATATAGTTTTGTAAAGCATATATTCTATGGTCAGAAAATATAAAAAATATAGTGGATCAAACTTCAAGTATTGCTTTGTCAACCATTATGCATTCAGACCACATTAAAATAAAGTTATCTGAAAGAAGTTCATGATCTATTGTAATAAAGTAAAAATAAAAAAAAAAAGATTCCCCTCATGATTTGCCTCATACATTGAGTTTTACGGTATACTTGGAGGGGGGACAGTTGACAAGTATTTCAGGTCATGGGAAATCACTCCCCACTTCTACTCCATCTGTAACTCAGGACAAGTGTTTTCACTCCAGGCCATAAACACGTGCCATTTAAATAGCTGCTCCACTGAACTCTTGCTCAGCATCAAATTGTTAACCCAACCACATTTGAAACTAACATTGCCAGAGTTAAAATTCTAAATTACCACACGTGTTCATTTGTTTGCCAGCTGATTAACCAATGTACTGCTTCATTTCACAAGTAATGAAAACATAACTGATATTAAAAGAAAATAATCAAATGGCTTACTTCATGGCTTGGTTTTGTACTTCTGAACACATCAAAATTAAGGAAAGGTTCACAATAATCTGCAACACAAAAGGAGCATGAGAAGGAGACCCAAGAACAGATTAACTGATCACATTCCTCTTCCACAAATGGAGCCAGGTTTCTACTGACCAGCATCTCACCAGAGTTTGCTCAGCAGACCCACACCCCTCAGGTTCTTACTCCACTTCTGGTCCACCAGGAGTAAGACAAAATTAAGAGCCAAGCAGACACCCACATTTGGGCTCTTTATGCCACCTTTTCCCCCCAAAATGTGTGTTTAACAGTTGCTCTACATTACTTATTCTTCCAGAAATCCAGAATCAAACCCTTTTTGCTGACAGTCAGGAAGTAACTTCAGTCACAGAAATACATACAGAAAATACATGAAACCCCCATTCTGTCCACGAATAATCTGAGTTCTTTCATATTTTGTGCATTTTGAGCTGTGTCAATTGAAATGTGATAAAGTCACTTAGTTCATTTGCTCCCACTACTTAGTCCTTACCTGTAATTGTAAATTTCCAAACATGCTTTATATTAATATTTGAGGGAAAACCCCCAAGGATAGGGAACTGCAGGGAAAATTGACTAGATAAAAATGAACCAGTAAACTGTAGGGATTTGTTTAGTTATTATCCATTAACATTTTCTGAAGGACAGGACAAGAATTTTATGAGAATTTTTCTTGGACAATAATGTCCCCTAATAACTCTGGTGATAGCCTCTATCACTGCCCTTGTCCTTCAGTTATTATTTGTGCCGTACTTGGAGGTCTTACAAAACCTCTACATATATTCATAACATCTTATAAGATTCCCTAGCTACACAGAATCAACAGGAATCACCATTTTAAAAGAAATCTATTCAAATGTCTACAATTAAACTGTGGAGAACAAAAACAAATGCATAAAATAAAACAAATAAAAAAAATGCATAAAAGCCCAATTAATCCAGTGATCAGTAGTTTTATTTAATGTAAAATGTGGGTTTCTCCCAAAGATCTTCCCTTTAAGTAGTGGCTTTGATGACAAAACTGCTACAATACAAACATTTTAAAAAAATATTAACACAATGCAAAGAATTTGATAATTTAGCAAAACTATTTTATTAAAGCTTATTCTCATGATAAAATAATAGCCAACAAAATCATATTAGGCAGACCTTCTGCAAATGTGTGCAGCTGCCACCTATTCGGATATCATTAAGTCAAGATATTCTTGTTTTCTGTGGTATTCTTTATTTTCAGCTATATACAATCAAGCACAAAGCAAAGATTACATCAGGAATGTAGTATTACAGTTTTCCCCTCGAGATTCACTTTTTATTGTAATTAATGCCAGATAGGAATTTGTTTTCCTTTTTATCACTAAAATACAACTATTTGCCTTTTTCTCATTCGGTATATTTAAAAATATTGCACTACATTTAATTTATCTCTTACAATCATCATTAGCAATACTATACGAGGAAAACTATATCCAGCTTTTCTTGCTCACTGTATTACACCAGTCAATTTAAAACCATGAATGTTTTTGAAATCAGTATTTGCATTGTTTTCACAGCTCCTTCATGTGTACCAGGGTTTAAATGAAGTATTTGGATCTACCTGAAAACCTCTATAGTAGTCGATACGAGCAAACACTGATGGAGATTGAATGCAGATCACCACCAATGGTAAGCCACTGAGAACATGGGATGGGGAAGTCTCAATATGCATCTCAAGCAAGTATAGGTTATATAACTTTTAGTCAATAAGGGAAGCTAATTTTGTGCGATTATTTGCTGAAGCTTAATTTCAGAAGTGTCACATGCCTGTTTTAGCATGGATAGTGTTTTCCATACATCAACTAAATAAGTATCAACTGCCCAGAACTCACAAAAAAGTGCAAGTAGTTGCATGAGTGAAAGTAACCGTTTTGTTTAGAAGTACAAATAAGCACTTTCCCATCCATGAAAACCATTGCTTCTTAGTTTTGCCCATCACAAAGTAAACCGAGAAGCAAATTTAATGGAGAGGTACTTTATAAACTTCCTGAAAATTTAAAGGACTTATTTTGCCACCTTAGATTCAACTCTGTTTCCACAAACGCGGTTTTTTTCCCCTACTACCAGTGATGATACCAGTACCTAACACAGTACCTAAAATAAAGATGATATTTATATGGCATTTCTATACACAGAAGATGAAACAAGGACATGTTTACAGGAAATAAATAAGAACAATGGCCTTAGCCAGGTGATGCTAAGATCCACAGCTTACACAAGACCAGATAGTTCTTTTCAACAGCTGCTGGCTGAAATTCTTCCTCATCTCTATTGGACTCACCTATTTTGACTCAAATAAAACATGTTATATACACTATAGGACATATTTCTGACAACAGACATCTTTCTACTCAGACTGAGAAGCTGAATGCAACTTACTACTATATGTGTCAAAAGCATCGAGAGAACACATTTAGCTGTTTTGTAATTTTTGTACCTTCAGCTTTCTGAAAGAATAAAGTCTGTAGCAAAATATTTTTAATTACTTAAACCATCATTACATGCTTTTTCATAGAATGCAATGAAACCTCCAGCTCTCGTGAAGAACAGTTCTGTTTTATCAGGTTGTACAGATGTTGTACAGAAGTCGTACAGCTGTACAACAACACTTAAACATGTAATTTTGTTCTGGAAGGCAACCAGCCATTTAGCTCAAACATTCCCAATTATTCCAAGATACTGGTATGTACTTTGATATCTAGTATTATTCAGTCAGGCTACAATAGCCCAAAGTCCTAAGGAGGATTTTTTTTAGCATAGCATTACTATATTTCATGTTAATTACAAACTATGAAAAGTTCTTGTATTTAACAAAAATATAGAAAACAATCGATATGTGATGTCATAACTTCAGGAAATATTCATAACAGACAAAAGACCTTTTCTTTGTTTTCAGGATATGTTTAGCAAAAAATATACAACTACCTAGAAGACGCAGAATAAAACTCTGATAACACTTTAAAGCCTGGTCCCGCAGCAACTTCTGTGTCAGTCATCAGCTTAGGCATGCAACAAGCTTATAACTTTTTCATCTCACAATGAAAACTAAACGTTTTGAAAGTCCCAACAGTTTCCCATTGAAAACACAAGCTCAAAAACAAAA